ATAACCTTGTGACCAGGGTGTCTTAACATGTTTCCCTCTGTCTGACCTCCTAGGATGCAACTCTATTAAAGCTCTTGAGAGCCAAGCTTTTGTAGGCCCAGCTGTAGAGCTGTGTTTTTAGCTCAGGGGCCCCAGGTTGGTTCCCAGTGTGACATGAGGTGATGACTAAAATAATGGCGAGAGCCCAGGGGGTTTCCTTGCAATCTACACTTTCCATCATAGATCTTCTTCCATGTTCAGAAGAAAGGCAACAGCTACTGTCTCTGACCCTTTTCCCTTCTGGAGACTGCGCTGCCCACTGTAGATGAGGTTTCCCAAAACTTCCATTTCAGCCTCTATGCTGATTTGTGAGTTGGAAGAAAGCAAAACAGGACCTTGTATTCTTTTAAAAGAGGCAGCTGCCTTTTCTTCCAATTGAATTTCCTCCACCTTTCCCCTCCTTCATTATCCCATGGAGATCTACCATAAGGAGATTTTCATGTCCACATGGACAGTTCATTAATGGATCAAAAACTGTCCAGTGGAGAAAACTGTGTGGGGTGATGGTGGATGCAGAGTTCAGTGTGAGTCAGCAGTGTGTGCCTGCAGCCCAGAAAGCCAACTGCATCAAAAGAAGTGTCGCCAGCAGGTTGAGGGAGGTGATTCTCCCCTTTTACTCAGCTCTCGTGAGATACCACCTGGAGTACTGTGTCCAGTTCTAGAGCCCCCACCATAAGAAGGTCATGGAGGTCCTGGAGAAAATCCAGAGGAGGGCCACAAAGGTGGCCCGAGGGCTGGAGCAGACAGGCTGAGAGAGTTGGGGCTGTTCAGTCTGGAGAAGAGAAGGCTCTGGGAGGAACTCATACTGGCCTTCTTGTATCTGAAGGGGGAGTACAGGAAAGCTGGGGAAGGACTTTTTACCTCAGTCATAGGACAATGGGTAAACGTTTTAAGCTGGAAGAGGGGAGATTTAGGCTAGACATTAGGAAGAAATTCTTTAGTGTCAGGGTGGTGAGACACTGGAATGGGTTGCCCAGGGAAGTTGTGGATTCCCCCTCCCTGGAAGCGTTCAAGGCCAGACTGCACAGGGCTTTGAGCAACCTAGTTCAGTGGGAGGTGTCCCTGCCCATTCCAGGGGGTTGTAACCAGATGATCTTAAAGGTCCCTTCGAACCCAAACCATTCTATGATTCTGTGATCTTCCAGTATTTCTTTTTTGGACTTTTTTAATTAGAGGAAGTGATAATCTGACCCAGCGGAAGGAGACGGGGAGGAAGGGGGTGAATTATTCCTTAAAGCAAATATCACCTCTGAGTAAAGTATGTATGAACTTTAGAGACTAGGAGATTAGAACTCTCTCTGAAAGTCAAAACAGTTGCCTAAGTGCATACTATGCATATAAGAAATTTTTCAGAAGAAAGGTTCAAATTCCAAGAAGGTAAATCTATGCTATGTATATAATATTTTCTATGTAATCTGTCCTAGGATTTATTATTCCTTATGCAGAGAGTTTGACTAGATGATCTGCTTCTGTCATATTTATGGTTAAAAACTAAAATTTAAACGAGGAAAAAGTTTTCTTAAGTTCTTTTCAGTATTTTCAAGAGGTGAAAATGGAACTTGAGGGGAAAAAAGAGCAATAAAAACCTTTAAAACTCCAAGTGAACTTTCATAATTGTAATTGAATGCAAGCTCTGGACTTTCCCATCTATCACACTATAAATTTTTTAAAAATACTTAGCTAAGCAGCTCTTCTTTCTCCTGCATTGCATAGTGATATGATGGATTGCTCTAAATTAATTACAGTAATCAGCTAGTGTTATGTGCTGGACAGTTGTGATTCAAGCATGAAGGAGAGAATAAGCAAATTCCAACTTGTACAGCAAATTACATATAGAAAAAATGTGTTGCAGAGTTAGTTCAAGTTTTACACCTTGGCCTCAGCTTGTAGGGAAGAAAAAAAAAGACTCAAGGGTGAAATACTGATCAAAAATGGAGGAAATGTACAATTTCACATATCTTTGGATGTACTGCAGAGGCATTATATTTTAATAAAAGCAAAAGAATAAAGTAAGAAAACAGTACCTAATAATAACTGATACTCTGGTGTTGCAAGAGGTGTTTTAAATTTCCTGGTCATTGAAAAGATGTTAAGAAATGCCCGTTTCTTTGTGTTGGAATAATATCAGCTCCTTTCTGGCCTGTTGTGAAAGGGATTGAGAATTTATACGGAATTTTACAGATGCCTCACGAGTTGAATTGCAAAAATCTGGTCGGACACGTATAATCTTCTTTAAAAATATTTATAGAATACAGCTCTTATGAAAATTAAACATGTTCCAGGTGTGTACGGTCCAACTTCTGGGCATAGCAAAATTGCTTTTGAAGTGGTCGATACACCTGTCACTGCTAGTCAAGAGAAATTAATCAGCCAGCTGCTGAAATGAAACTTGATAGGTTTTGTTGTGTTTGTTTTGTCCAAAAGATAAACTGGGATGACTGTAGTAAAAGTAGGAATAAGTTGCAACTAAGATGTGGCAGCTGGGTGCAGAAAAGGTACAATTTCTCTTCTTCCTGGGTAGCAATTTCTTGTACAGCTTCAGCTTCTCAGGATAAAATGGTCAATGTGATACTATTCTGTTTGCAGGCTAGTATTACAAGCTTGGGATTTTCAGCTGACTTTGGTCCTTGTTCAAGAGAGAAACTGCACCACAGAAGCTCAAGATATTTCCTTCTATCCATATTCAAAAGACCATAATGGAAAGAGATGCTAATGCCAGAAGTATAAAAGCTCTGAAGGGATAGCTCTGCACAAATATGGAGATGTCTGCAGAGCTCAGTCATAGCATGGAGAATGGATCACAAGTTGAAACAGCCACATTTTTTGAGGTTCCCTTGAGTTTCAGTGCAGCCACCCAAAAGGAGATGGCATGGCCAGATTGCTTTCAGGGATGTTTCCCAGGTGTGTGAAAAAAGGCTTTAAAGAGAAGGAGTATAATATGTTCTTGTTTTAGTTTTGCAGATTCAAGTATTTTCAGGGCTGTGCTGTAAAACTAAATCACTGGAATAACATAAAAAATAATCTAGCTATTAAAAAATACAGGAGGCAGATTTTAAGAACTACCATTGAGAAGTGGTGCTGGGACAAGAATGGACAGAGAGTCATATAGAGGCTCTTTTAGCTGATCTGTGTAGGTGAAATTCCAGGTGAGACTAAGAGAAAAACATTGGTCTGTAACAGTCTTTCAGCTGAGGTTTTGCAAGGCTGTGACCTCTATGTGCAGTTTGTTACCTCCTATATTCAAGTACTGGTTTGCAGATATGCCATTTGCAGTATCCACTTAAAGTTCCCTGAATTAGAATCTCTTAGTCTTTCTCCAACCATGAAAATGATTTATACGATTCTGAAATCTTCCACAATGTTGCACAAAGGTGGTGTTCCACTTAAAATTCCTCCCCCAAAAAAGATACCAACAGCAAAACATCTGAGATCTAGGTCAGTTTTTCCTGTGGGTAGAGATGGTGCTAATGATAACTTTACTTCTGCCTCTTAGGTCCTCAACTGAGGTGCATTTAAGCTACTGATATATATTCTTTTAAAAATGATATGCATGTTTTTCTTACAGTTAGTATCTTTTCCCTA